AGGAGGGTGGGCCGGCGGGAGGAGCCTCCGCAGCCCGGCCGGCCGGCCCTTCTGCAGCCGCCGCCTCCACATCTCTACCAGAAGTCCCGGCGGTGGTAGGAGTCGGGGTCACAGTACTTCGTGACAACCACTCTGTTGGCGAACTTGCGGCCGGTCAGGCCCTGCATGGCTTTCTGGCAGTCAAACACAGAGGTGAACTCCACGAAGATCTGCGGACAAGAGCAGGCTGAGGCCACGCTAGCCGCACCGGGCTGCAGGAGCAAGGGGTCAACGGGGCACCGCAGCCAGGAAGGGGTCTCCTCACCTGACCTGACCTGACCACCAGTACACAAAGCCCAACATACCAAACCCCACACAAGGATCTCACTAGTCTTCAAGGAAGCAGTTTCACTTTAGGAAAAATAGAAACAATTCTAGCCACTGGGACTGAAGACAACTGGAGGCCAGCCTGGGCAACGTGGCAAAAACTCTGGGGGGCACAGGTCAGTGGTGGGAGTGCTTGCCTGGCATCACAATGCCCTAAGTCTGATCCCCAGACAGCAGACATTATGAAAATAGTAACTTTCTCTTGGAAAGGAAAAGTCACATGATAAAACTGATAAATGAGATGGGGTTGTGGTGCACACCTATAACCCCAGCACTAGGAGGCTGAGACAGGAGGATCACCTCAAGTTAAGAGAGCATCCTGGGACTACATAGCAATATCCTGCCTTAAAAAAAAAACAAAAAACAAAAAACTTTATGTTACCAAACTCAAAACAAGGACCTTATTTGTACCCTTATATGAAAAGAGGCCTAGCATGGTATGAATACCTGTCATGCCAGCATTTAGTAGGCTGAGGCAGGAAGACCACCATGAGTTCAAGGCCAGTCTAAACTACACTGCGAGGCCCTGTCTCCTGAAAACAACCTGGCCCTGAATGTCAAGTCGGTGAGAAATTACAGAGAAGTATACCCAAGTACCTCAGAGGAAATACATGAGATACTTCAAATATTACAAAAAAGTGGGGGGCAAGAATAAGCTGAATTGCTGGGAATTTGGCTCAGTGGCACTGCATCTGCCTGGCAAGTCCAAGTTCCTGAGTTTGATCCCCAGCACAAAAAAAAGAAAAAAAATTAAGCTGAATAAATGACAAAGATAGATGGGTGATGGAATGAATCATCAGTCTTGAGTAAATCTAAAAACTCATGACGTGAAATCTAAAAGCAGGTGTTAAAAAAAAAGAAATCTAAGAGCAGGAAAGGGACGCAACAAGGTAACAGACCAGCGGAGGCCAGAGGCCAGGGTCTCTCCACCCTGCCCCAACTTCAGCCAGGGTCCCCGTTCCCTGCTCCCTGCAGGGCAGCACGTCATGTCCCCCTACCACCCCAGGACCTAGGGAGCTCTGTCCATACACCAAGCGGAGGGGTGACCGCATGTGAGCCCAGGGACCCAAACACCCTTCACGGCAGCGGGACTGCGTGGTGCTGGGAATGCACGCATGCAGTCCTCCAGGCCCACTGGGGGAGGCAGAGCCAGGCTCAGAACCAACACGGCCAGGACGCAGAACCCAGGTGTCACCCCAGCTGCTGCTCACTGGCGGGCTGGGTGCCAGGGTGCTGACCTTTCCGCAGCCGGGCACCTCCACGCCGTCCACGGGCCGGGGAATCTCGATGGACTTGACCAGCCCATACTTGCTGCACTCGTCCCGCACGTCCTCCACGATCTCCTCGTACTCCTCGTCGTCCAGCAGCTCCTCAGGCAGCACCATGTTCATGAGGCACAGAACCTCGGTCGGGTGGCCGCCCATCTGCACCTGCGAGCTCATCAGGCCCGGCACTTGCAGGGTCACGGGGGTCTGGTTGATGGTGCTCTGTGGAGCCAAGGCAGGCAGAAGTCACAGGGCGCTCCAGCCAGCCTCCCTCCCCAGCCCGGCCCACTAGCCAAAGGAAGGTGACGTGCCAGGGGGCTCACCAGCGTGGCATTCTTGGCTCCCACACTTGCCCTCTGGACCAGCAGCTTCTTGTCCCCAAGCTGCATGCCGTTCAGCCCGGCGATGGCCTGTGTAAGGTGGGAGCCGGAGGGGGACAGGACAGGGGAGTCAAGGCCCAGGAGCCTGGCTCCTCCCCCAGACCGGGGCATCGGTGGGGAAACAGGGAGGGGGCAGCCACCTCCCACCCGGTCCCAGGAGGGCACCGCAGCTGCAAACAGCAAGGACAGGGCAGATGTGGTGGACAGCCAGGCCCCTGGGCTCACCTGGTCAGTAACGTTGATGTCCACGTACTCACAGAAGGCGTAGCCCTTGGAGAGCCCTGTGGCACTGTCCTTGACCAGGTTGAAGGCCTTGAGTGGCCCAAAGGATGTCAGCAGCTCTTTTACCTGCAGGAGGCCAAGATGTCGTCAGAGCCCAGTCAGGCCAGCAGGGGAGGGGAGGACGGGCAAGAGAGGGCTCACCTGGTCATCATTCAGGTAGTTGGGTAGACCCCCAATAAACAACTTATGGGCAGAGTCAGGGACCACAGTAGACACAACTCCTATGGGAGAAGGGAGGAGAACCTCAATTCGGACCCCAGGCCATGCGTAGCCCACAGACCTGGGATATCTGCACCAGGAGCTCGCATCCATCACATCCTAAAGCAATCTGACAATCAGGCACGCGCAGCATCTCCCGGACCTGTCCAGCCTCAGCAGAACTACACAAAAGCTAGCAGCACCTTCCCAGGAAGGCCCCACAGGCTGCAGGCCACACTCACACCCACACTCTGCAGCTCTGAGCAGGCCTCAGAGTCACTCAAGCCCTTCTTCAGCCCTTGGGTCCCAACCACCACCCGGGACCATTTTCCCACTCCACAGGCCCAGTCCTGTCCCACAGGTCCTGGGCACAGTTCCTGTGACACTGGCAAAGAGCCTACTCACACAGGGGCAGTCCCTAAGGGCTCCCACAGCCCCCAGCCTGTCCTACCCACTGAACTCGACACAGGCAGGTACCTGCCCTGTGACTGCACTGGCTTCCCGAATTTCGTCACTTAGGTCTCAATACCGCCCCATCAGACAAGCAGGAAGGCCCCAGCTCCCCCAGCCGGCCTCCCCTTCCGCGTGGCACCCCACAATTGGTAGCTCATGCTACCTCCAACCTGGTGCTGGGGAGCATCCGGTGAGACCAAACAGGGGAAAGCCCCAGAGCAATGGGCACCCGCCCTCCTCTGGACTCTCATCTGCCTCAAGAACCCTGTCCAGGGCCCACAGAAGTGCAGGGATCAACCCAGCTGGCCCCAGGCACCAGGGCTGTGCACCAGCAGAGGGGGCCATGGCCCCAGGATACCCAGCCTCAACCCAATGATTGGGCAGTAGCATCCTGGAGAGGCACCAGCCAGGCAGACCAAGCTCTGTCCACCTGTTACCTCGGTGTGTCCAAAGCCCGGCTCAACACTCTGGCTGAGGGCTCTGCCTGGTCCTCAGCAGGGAAGCAAGGCCAAGGCTCTGAGGGAGGCAGCACTGTCAGGCACTACAGTCTGCTCCCAGGACTCAAGTCACAGCTCTGCCCCTCAGCCTCAGGCACTCAAGAATGTAGCAGCCACTGCAGAGGACTAATGGTACAGCGACACCCTGCCTCGCTGCCACGGCTTTCGTTCTGCCAAGTGTGTCCTTAAACCCAAGCTGCACAGGGGTGGACCAGACAGATTTCGTGGAAAACCTTCAGCGCCGCATGGACAACTGCTACTGAAATTGGGAAGTCGGACCACTGTCTTCAGGGTTTTTTTTTTAAATTCTAATCAAGAAATCTGCTGGATTTTACCAAATGCCTCTTCTCTTTGGTCTCTACAGGGTAGGAAAAGGAAAGGAACAAAAGTTCAAAACATGTTTTTCAATGGGTGGGGCTGTACTAGAACTCAAGTCAGTGGTGCTCTACCACTAAGCTACTCGCCTAGCCCTTTCTTATTCTGAGACAGTGTCCCACTAAGGTCCACAGGAGAGACTCGAACTTGTAATCTCCCTGCATCAGCCTCCCTCTGTGCAGGGACTGTAGACATGTATCGCCTTGGCCAGCCAAATTCCAGCTTTATCAGGCCGAGTTGCAGGCCTAACCCACAGGCAAAACCACTTCCTGCTATTGCCCCAGAGTGGTACCCATCTGCCCAAGCACAGGCAGAGCTGGATGACCCAGGCAGGCACATCCCAGGGCCAGGCAAGTGGGTAGCCACTGCTGCTCAGGCACACTGGCTGTGGACAGGCCTGCAGCTAAGCAAGGGTAATGATGGCAACTGCACCTGTCGTGGCACCAATTCCCAACAGAAAGGCAGTGTTGGCCGGAAGCAGTGTGGGACGGCTAGGCAAGCACTCCAGGGTCACAAAGCACAACCTGGGAAACGGACTCCACGACCATGAGCCTGTTGTAATTCACCTCGTACCTGCCTTCCCTGGTGAAAGATGGGCCATTCCCTTGCCACGAGGGGACACAGCAATCCAGATATATGTAGCAAGCAGGCCCGGCCATCTGCTGACAGGTCTTTACTCAGATTTACAAAGTTGTAACCAGCAGGAGTGTTGGCAAGGCCGAAGGGGCCACATGGCACACTGGGGGCACAGCAGGCAGCAGGCTGCACATGGAACCCTAAGTGAGCTCCAGTGCACAGGGTTTACTGGGAAGCGGAGCACAGGAGATATGGTGATGACCCTAGCAGAGGCATCAGTGGCACTCAGAGCAGCAGGGTGGGCTGAGCTCACAAACATCATGGAATCGAGTGAACTCACAGTGAAAAAACACTAACAGCCGGGACCTGGCCCCAAGGCACACTGACAGGACAGACACTGACACACCTCCCCACTCTGGATTCCACGCACCCCACTCTGAAGCAAAGAGCAGACACAGCCTCCTTTTTCAGCTGGAGCAGCACCAGCTTCCTACAGGCCACTGGGGCTGAGAAGCCGAAGGCCTCCTTCATGCCCTCCATGTCTGCTACAGGTGATGGAAACCGCAGTCCAAGGGAGGAGGGCAGCCCACTCCCCCTTTCTGCAGGGACCACAGCATGACACGGAGACGCCAGCCACACATGCCCGTGTGTACCAATAGACACCCCAGGCATTCAGTGACCACAGGGGCTCGCCATTGCTCCTATGCATCACAGGAAACAGTAGCACCACAGTGGGAAACGGCCCGGAAGGGGACCAGAGTGCACCGAGGGACCCTCTAGCCCCACCTCAGGAGGTGTCACAGTCTGGCACCAGGGAAGGAGGCCACCACGCACAAGCAAGGTATGGGCTGAGTCCCGCCTGCCCAGGGCACCATGGCTCTGGGTCCTGGCTCTGCCCCTTCCAAGCTGTACATCAACCACAGATCACAGCATGAGCCCCAGGCCCTGGGCCAGGCTACCTGGCTGCCTGGGAGGCGGCCTGGAGGTTCCAAGGCACACATGGGGCAAGCAGTGGGCTGGCCAACTCCTCACTCACCGGGCACGTAGACTGAGGGGTTCTCCGACATGCCAGGCAGCGGCTGGTAGTCATGAGGCCTGCGGATCTTCAGTGACTGGCCCTGGAAGATGATGCCATCAAAAGCCATGGCCTGGGTTGTCTCGTCCACTGAACGGAACTGCAGGAGGCAGAAGGAGATAAGGTGAGGCATGGTCAGACCCAGGCTCTGCGAGGGGGATGTCCCTTTCCTTCCACTAGCATCGACAACCGTCATGTGACAGGCTCTGCCCTGGGCACTGGGAGCGCAGACACATCCCTGCTTCTGGGGCTCTCACTCTCTAGTGAGGGGAGACACCAGCACCCAACACAGAGGCAGGGGCAAACACGACACCGTGACCATGACAATGCCAAGGGAGGGTGGCACAGGAACATTCAATAAAGGAGAGGTAACAGCCCATAGGCTTCCGGACCAATGACATTTATGCTGAAATCTGGACAGCAATGAGGCAATGTGGGGTGGAGGGGAGCTGTCACCATCGCTCCACTGCTGCCTCCACCTCTCATAGGAACAACAACCCATCCCAGCTCAACATCACAACCCCAAATCCTTCACCAGTCTGAGAAACGCACGTGAGGAAAACAAATTAGAAAAAGCAGTCACGGACCAAGGATTTAGCTCAGTGGTTCCACTGCCTGCCTCGCAAGCACAAGGACCCCGGTACTGGCAAGTTCGATCCCCAGTACCAAAAAAAAAGAAAGAAAAACAGCAGTCAGCCAAGCCGGGCTTGGTGCCACACCCCTGTAATCCTCGCACTTTGGAAGGCGGCTAGGTTCACCACTGTACCACCAACACAAACAACCCTGGCACGCTGGTTGGGAGAAGTAACAGGAGAATCCCAAGTTCTAGTCCAACCTGGGCAACTTTGTAAGACTCTGACTCAAATTTTTTAAAAAAACAATTTTTATCCCATGCCCCCCAAAAAAATGTTTTTAAAGGGGTCAGCTCAGTGCATAAAATCCTGGGTTTGATCTCTAGTACAAGAAAAAACAAAATTTTCCCACTTCAGCTTCAACACAAAAGGGGTACAGCACATCCAGGGAGGCCTCAAGTGTGGCCAGAGCACAGGACTGGGTCAGAATGGTCACAGAGGGAGGTGACCAGCAGGAGCCCCAGGCACCAGGGAAAAGCAGCCTGCACAGGTCCAGTGGAAGGGTCAGTGTAGGGAGGCACAACACAGCAAGGGACAGACAGTGCCTCACTCCACACACACCCCCGGCCCCATGGCCACCCACCCAACTCACCTCCAAAAAGGCAAAGTTCTTGTCCTGATTGATCTGCACAGCCAAGACTGGGTTGCCAGGAGCCTGGGTCAGCCCCCCCAGACGCATCTGGGCGTTGAAGAAATCCATCATGGCCTCCTACAGAGGAAGAGGAGACAGGGGGCGGGGAGGGAGGTGGAGAGAGGAGGGGAAGGGTAAGAGAGGGAGACACAGAGGGTTTGGGGGTGAGGGGAGAGGGAAGGGGAGGGCGGGGTGGGACAGTGGAGTATGGGTGAGGGGTGGAGAGGTCAATAGTAGGAACCGAAGCAAGAGGGAAATGAGACACACGAGGGAACAGTCACAAGGGACAGTAGGAGATGGCAGCCAGAGGGCGGCAGACACAGGCACCAGGGCGAGCCACAGGGGCCCAGACAATCAGGGGAGGAGAAAGGCAGTTTGAGAACAGATGAAAGGAGACAAGAGGGAAAGGGAGAGAAAACCATAGAGCAGGAGACAAGAAAACAACACAAAGAGCAAACACCCAGTGCAGACAAGACAAGGAAATAACATGAACGCAGACCAAAGAAAGGGACAGAAAGGGAAAGCACGACGGAGACAGCAAGGAGGAAGAGGTGAGTGCGGGGCAGGGGGGGCGGGAGGGGAGGAGAAAAGAGTGATGTGGAGGGATCTGGCCCTGGAGTCCGGGGGCTGGTTTATCAAATGTAGCAAAGTGCAGGTTGAGAAAGTCAGAATGGACCTTACTTGCCTTCGACGATGGTAGCAAACTTTTTGTTGCTACGAGGGATCTCAGCCCCACAATATTTCACTTTAAAGAGAAATGGAAACAACTCTTTGATCTCGGGATTCTCAGGGGTGCCACGGGAAGGGGTGGGGAGAGGGCCGGGGAGGGCAGGAACGGTGGGGAGGGGGAGGTCAGGGCAATCAAAAATAAAGAACAGCGACCACGGGAGGATGTGGGGGAGAGGATGGGGACAGACGGCAGAAGAGGAGAGTGTGTCAGGAAACACTGCGGGGCGTGCGTCTGTGTGTGCGCGCGCATGTGTGTGCTGAGTCTCCCTCTCTGTCTCTCCGACACGTAGGTACCACATGGAGGTTGGTTCTGTGTGTGTTTGAACCCGGGTTGCTGGAGGAGGGTGGGGAGGGGAGACGGAGAGGGAAGAGGAGGGAGGGAGGGGCCACCCCCAGCCCGGCCCCTGGCTGGCTCAACTCCATCGTCCGTCTGGGAGGGGGCCGGGGGGTCTTGCAGGAGCAGAGTCTGACCCGTGCAGGGGGCGGGGGACAAGGTGGGGAAACAGGGAGAGGATAGGGCAGGGGAAGGGCAGTACCTCAGTGATGCCAAAGGGGATGTTGCCCACATAGAGACGCCGGGCCTGTCTGGTCATCTGGCTCCCAACCACGGGCACTGGCGTTGGGGTCACAGCCAGACCATCAGGGGTCATGGTGGGAAGGAGGGCAGTGGCTGGAATCTGACCCGCAGCTGGGGAAGGGGCAGGAGAAAACACAAGCCTCAACCCAAGCTCCAGATCCCCACCCAACCTGAGAAACCCACCAGCTCCGTGCAGAGCTCCTGCAGGACCAACTGGCCAGACTGGACTTGGCCCAGCACCAGCACACCCCCAGAAGCTGCTGCCTCTCTGAGCCCGGCCTCCTGACAGCCCAGGGGCTGCGGGAGCATTGCAACATGAAGCCTAGGGTGTGCCCCACCCCGCACCTCGCCCACCACCAGAACAGCCCAGCTAGGGCCCACCTTGCATGGCCTTGTACTGCATCGGGGTGATATGCTCAAAGCCAGGCGGTGGCACGTCCCAGTACTTGCGCACCTTCTTCTTCTTCTCATGGCGGGGGGAGCGGCTGGGGGAGGGGAGGGGGAGCCACTCAGTGTGAGCATTGCTGCCAGCTGGTGTTGGCTGGGCAGGTGGATGGGCATCCCCCAAACCCCTCCCAGGCTCCCCAACGCCCCCGCCCCACCGTGAAAGCAGCAGCACTCTCTCCAGCTAGGAGGACCCGGACAGGGTCAGGCAGGGGCAACTCTTCCCCGGAGCTGGGGCCAGGGTGCATGGGGGATGCACAAGCTATGAGAAAGGTGAAGGGAGTGGACACAGGCAGAAGGGGAAGGAAGAGACGCTCACATCAATCCACCATGCTCCTCTTTAGCGCCTCTGGTCAAAGGTTTGCTGGGGGTGGGAGGGAAAAATATGGTGAGAATGGGTGACTGGGGACCCATGGCTTCCCCACAAACCAAACCGCCCAAGGGCACTGAGCCTGCCTCGGCCCTGCTGTCCACCTCCCCTCTGTGCTCCCCACCCCCAGGACACAGACATGAGGAAGGAGTAGGGGTGGACAGACCCTCCGTCCATGGAGATACTGGGTAGAAGGACCTGACACCACACCACTCCTCACCTACGAGCACAGAGAGAACAGGAAGACAGGGAAGGCAGGAACTTCTGGGTAATGAAACTGACATCCCTGAACTACACACCCAAGGGGCCCTTCCTCCAACAGACAGGTGGACATTAGAGACAGACCAGCCCCTAAAGATGGTCCACAAAAAGTGCAGGACCAAGAACCAGGCCCTCAGAGTCAGAACCCAAAGACAGCACTACATGGAAAAGACAGCTCGCTCTTGCCTCAGCAACCCCCAGCACCACCTCCAGAGAGAACTACAAGTTGCTTCAGATACAGGAGAGGCACAGATCAGAGACCACAGCACAGACACCCCAGACAGCCCCACAGAGAGGGGCCCCAAGGGTCTAGGCCCCACCCAAACAGGTCTGAGCACCGGCCCTCAACAAACACCCCACTTCCAGGCGGACCAGGGTAGGTGCCCCAGGCTTGTACCTGCGTCGCCTCCTGTCCCGGGAGGCACTGCGCTGGTCCCGGTTGCGCCGGTCTCGGCTCCGGCTCCGGCGCTTGCGGTCCCGGCTCCGAGAACGGCTGTGGCTGCGCTTCCGGTGCCGGTTCTCTTTGTCCCGCTCTGGGAACAGGTGGAAAGGGGACAAGGAATGAGCAGAGGCAGATGCAGGCCCAACCCACCCTGGGCACCCAGGGAGGCCACCCCCAGGGGTTCAGGATGCAGTGGAGCAGGGAAGTGAGAGCACAGCCTCCTGGCACCACACCCACACATACACGAGTCCCCAAGGACTCCAGGGGAGGAGACAGGGCCTGGAAACACCCCAGGGGTGCAGTATACCTGACGACGCTCAAGAGGAGCTGAGGAGCCAGAGAAGACAGAGGAGGCTAGCTCCCGGTCCCCCTCGAGGGCTGAGGGGCCTGACCCCAGGGCCGTCCCTGAGAGGGGCAGGGCTAGACGCTGGGGAATCAAGAGACCCAATGATGTTCTCCTGAAAGGACCCAGTGGCCCCTCAGGAAAGACCTCTGCCACCAGCAGGCACCCTCGGCCCCACCATCAGGCCCAGGGCACAGGCCAGGCAGGATCTGGTAACCCCCGGAAGCAGAGAAACCCAATGCCATCCCTTCCTGGCTGGATGAATAATGCAGAAGTGCTCCCTGCAAGGAGGGGTCTCCTTCTGTGGGGACAGACTGCCTTGGCCTCACCTGGGCTGGAATCCCAAACACAATCCTCAACTCCACTCCCTCACACCAACTGCAAGAAGCCGGCGGGTGAGAGCTAGGACCTAGGTCCCACTGGGGTTCACCAGGTGCGAACTCCTCAGCCTCATTTGCCTCAGAGGCGAAGGCAGTGGCAAAGAACAGCACAGCCTCGCCAGACAAACCACAGGGACCTCTGATCCCACAGACCCTCACGTTCTGAAGGGGCAGCTAAGTGGCAAGCACTCTCACATGTACTTCCTTAGTTCAAAGACACTCCTGACTCCTCACTACCCACCAAGGACAAGCAACGACAAACCCAGTTACAGTCTTGGTAGTCCAGCACCCATCTCTTAAGAGATCACTGGGGGCAGTGGGAGGAAACGCCCTGAGGAGAGGGCATCAAAGGAGACTTGGGTTTCTCCACAAGGATTTGCCCTACATACTTTTCTGATGGAATTAAATATGAACTTTTTGTAAATCCACCAAAACTTGAGAACCACTAAGACTCAGAAAAGCTGGGGGGAGAGGGTGTCAAACACTGAAATACCTCAATCTACAATATTTCTTTTGCACTTAATCCTCACTACTGCTTTGGACAAACACCCCCGGAGATTCACATACAGAGAAATAAGACAATCACAAACTGTCCAATGCTGCACTGATGGGAACAGTTCAGCCTGAACGAGACTCTGCAGTCAAGCACCAGGCTGCATCCTGAGACTCAGGCAGAACGCAGGACACTCCACTGTCTGGCAATGGAACTTAATCCTTGGAGGCCAAAGACTCGGAACCCAAGACAGACCACGACGTGGGGTACTGGGGTAAGTGCCCAGCATGGGGCGGTGGGGGGGCTAGCGTAACACAGACAGGCTGTCCATTCCGAGAGCCTTTCCGGCTCTGCAGACTCAAAACACCAGAAAGGAAGCAGCAATGCCCACTGGGTGCCTGGATCGCAGCTAAAGGGCCTGAAGCTTAAACAGGTGCTGAGAAGCTGGCTGCCAGGCACCTAGAGACAGGTGACACAAGGGCAGAGCTTCCCCTGCAACTAAAACTGCTGCTGGATGGGTAAGAACAAAAAGGGAGCTTCACTTGCCCAAACTACTGTTGTGGGAGCAACCGCATCAAGCAAGATGTTCTGGATCTCAGACCAATCTTCTAGCAATGGCAGCCCTGGAGAACCACAGCAATAAGCAGCTCTCCTCAGCAGGCAGACCCCTCCATAAATCCATGGAACTTAACTTCTAACACTTGGTTTTCACTTCTCTAAACGAGGGCCATGTCTGCCCCACCCAGGTGTTCTGAGAACTTGGCTGTACTACATTTGGAAAACAACTTGCCCTGCCCTTCACCAACTCCGATGCCATGCCTATGATAAAGCCAAAGATATGATTTTCTACTTTCTTCCTAAATTTCCAACAATAACAAGTTTCACTTATTAGACACTTAGCATGTGCAAAAGCACCTGCTCTGCGCTTCCCTTACCCAACTTAATCTCAGCCTGTCTGACTAGGAAACCAAAATTTTAAACTCTGTAAACCTGTTTCCTTCCCAATAAAAAGGAAATTATTTTGTTCTTAGAGCCTATTACAAAACTCACTTAACAAAACCACGCAGTTTAGCAAATTGCATGACACATGGTAAATGAAACTGTTACTAGCCTCGTTAATCCTCTCAAAAGCTTTGCACCTCAACAGTGAAGGTAGATCGTGTGAGGAAAAAAATCCCAAGAACAAAGATGTTAAAAGTAGCACAACTACCAGACACCACCACAGCTGTTTATCTAGATACAGATATACTCAACCCCCAAGCCTATGCCCTTTTACGCAGTACCCTAGCTAACCACAGATTGGCCATGGACCGTCATTAAAGTTACTTCTTCCCCGGGCACTGTTGCCTCACCCACCCCTCCCCTACTGACTCTAGCCTGGGCCCAAAGAATTCGGAGTCCCTCATCCACTCCGCCCCACTACAGCCAGGAACACGGGCACCTTAAGCTCATGCGCCCAGAAATTCAAGCCTCTACTCCTAAGCTTTTTGCACTTTCAAACCGAAATACAGCCGAGGCAAGAAGAGACTCAAAACGTCTGCTGACGATCTTCACTTTCTCAGGGTCTCGGTCCCGCCCGCCAGAGAAGCAAGAGGAGCACCCACGGGCCGGCTCTTGATGTCTGCAGAGAGGATCAAGAGGCTGAATCTAGATGCCCTGAGTCTGGGAGTGGGCAATACCTGGGCCTGTTTCAGCTGGGGATGTGGGGACAAACACCGCACATGGCCACAAACTCTAGCTCAGTAAGAACGCGGGCGTGCAGGGCACAATACAGAGACCTCCTTCCTCCTTCCACGAGGCCGACACGGCCCGGCAGAAGCTCCAAGCAGGGAGCCCCTAAGGCCCGCAGGCAAGGAGCGAGGGGGGGGCGCCCCATCCACGTGAGAAGCGGCCATCCTCGCCGCCATCTTGGAAACAAAGGGGGCGTGGAGGCAGGGCCGAGCGCCCGACCGGAAGCGGAAGCGCCCAGGCAGCGGGAGAAAAAGGCCAGGCCAAGGACCTAGCTTCACCTTCCCCTCAAAACTAGAAAAAGAGACTGCGCGTCTAGG